TTTTATGGATTTTTTGTAATAACATGAAAAACGAATAAATATTTAAATAAAAAAAAAAAAGAAAGAAAAACATGAAAGAAGGGAAACTAGAGGGATCACGGATCCGGGGCTAACATAGGCAGCGACTATAGGAGGTCATAACTAGTAGGAGGCAGGGATGGCAAGGAATAAAGTATCCAAGGTTCCCGAACCTCAAGGAATCTCGGATGAGAATCATGAAGGATCTTACACTTTCAATAAATGTTTTTTTATCCTTACACCAAGAGTTGTATTTTTTGGTCCTTCCATCTCATTTAAGCGTTGTTTCTACTGAAGTGACAGCTCTGTCATACAAGTATGGTAGCAACCCAAACCTCCATCAAGAGATCAGTACCACCACTTACCTGCGAAACCACCTAATACCTATCCGTTACTTTTTGAACCAGTCCAGCTTTGTTTCTAGCCCAAACTGAGTGCAATAGCTGGCAGTGGGAATTCTTTTATCCATAGATGAGGGAATTTAATGATTCTTTTCTCATTCAGACTACGGGCTGAACAAGAGAAATCTGGGCATGGGTGGCTATGTTACCAGCTTCCATGAGGACAGACAAATTTACATACACATTCATCAAATACCTATAACATCGGTACATGAGATGAGAAGTGAGAGGGTGAAGACCAAGCTCGCTGTGGATGACTCCTAGGTCCTGAAGGCACATGTAATACATCAAGACATTGGGCGCATGTTGGATGAATGTGCCTTCAGGATTTGGAGTCATCCACACCGAGCTTGGTCTTCACCCACTCACTTCTCATCTCATGTACTACATACTTGCTGTGTTCACAATGAGGAGACTTGCTAATAACTGACAACATTTTTAACCCATCTTCACTACACATTTCTCTCTCTCATATACACTCACCGGCCACTTTATGAGGTCCACCTGTTCAATTTCTTTGTCACACAAATTGCTCATCAGCCAATCACACGGCAGCAACTCGATGCATTTAGGCATCTAGACGTGGGGAAGACGACTTGCTGAAGTTAAATCTGAGCATCAGACTGGAGAAGAAAGGGGATTTAAGTGACTTTAAACGTGGCATGGTTGTTGGTGCCAGACGGACTTCTCTGAGTATTTCAAAAGTTGTGTTGACAAAAATGCGTTGTTGATATCAGAGGTCAGAGGAGAATGGGCAGACTGGTTCCAGATGCCAGAAAGGCAAAAGTAACTCAAATAACCACTCATTACAACCAAGGTAGGTAGAATACCATCTCTGAACGCATAACACATCCAACCTTGAAGCAGATGGGCTACAGCAGCACAAGACCACACCGGGTGCCAATCCTGTCAGCTAAGAACAGGAAACGGAGGCTACAATTCACACAGGCTCACTAAAATTGGACAATAGAAGATTGGAAAAACATTGCCTGGTCTGATGAGTTGATTTCAGTTGCAACATTCAGATGGTAGGGTCCAAATTTGGCGTAAACATGAAAGCATTAATCCATCCTGCCTTGTATCAGCAGTTCAGGCTGGTGGTGGTGTCATGGTGTGGTGGATCCATCCTGCCTTGTATCAACAGTTCAGGCTGGTGGTGGTGATGTCATGGTGTGGGGAAGAGTTTCTTGGCACACTTTTGGCCCACTTTAGTACCAATTGAGCATCATTTAAATACCATGATCTACCTGAGTATTGTTGCTGTACATGTCCATCCCTTTATGACTCCAGTGTCCCCATCTTCTGATGACTCCTTCCAGCAGGACAACGCACCATGGCACAAAGCTCAAATCATCTCCAACATGACAATGAGGTCACTGTACTCCAATGGCCTCCACAGTCACCAGATCTCTATCCCATAGAGCACCTTTGGGATGTGGTGGAGCAAGAGATTTGCATCATGGATGTGCAGCCGACAAATCTGCAGTAACGGCGTGATGCTATCAAGTTCATATGTAACAAAATTTCTCAGGAATGTTTCCAACACCTTGTTGAATCTATGGCATGAAGAATGAAGGCAGTTCTGAAGGCAAAAGGAGGTCCAACCTGGTCCTAGCAAGGTGGACCTAATAAAGTCACCAGGGAGTGTAGCATTGGCCTGCACCTGTGTGGCAGTGCCATTCAATGGACATCTGACCTTGCGCCTGGAAACAAAATCCGCCATTGCTGCATTTGTGCTTCTCCCTTACTTCCCTTACCTACAATCTTTGGCACCCAGGTACAGTCATCTCGTCATCACCACTCTCCTCATCATTGGAGCCCACTTGGTAGTAAGCTGCAGCTGTACTAATTGCAATTAAAATGTCTCCCTCTCTGTTGTCCCCTCCCTCTATGCTCCTGTACAGTAGAACTCTGAGGACTCTGATGTAAAGGGAACTCTAAAGACTCTTGTGTAAGGTGGGGGGGCTCTGGTGACCCAAGACCCCCTTACATCAGAATTCCCCTTTACATCAAGGTTCGCAGTTGTCCTCCTTGTACTGTAAGGGGGAACCCTGCAGATTCTGATGTAAAGGAGAACTCTGAGGACTCTGATGTACAGGGAACTCTGCCAACTTTTGTGTAAGGTGGGCTCTAGGAACCACAGACCTCCTTACATCAGAGTTCCCCTTTACATCACAGTCCGCAGTGCCCCCCTTACATCAGAGTTCACCTTTACATCTGGGTTCACAAAGGTTTCCCTTGCACTGTAAGGGGGAATGCTGCAGATTCTAACTCTGGGGGCTCTTGTTTAAGGGAGGCCTCAGGTAACCACAGACCTCCTTTAGAGGTTTCCTCCTTCAGAGTTCCCCTTTACATCACAGTCTACAGTGTTCCCCTTTACATCAAAATCCACAGCTTTCCCCTTTACTGTCTTCGGGGGGGGGAGGGGGGCCCTTCAGAATTCTCTGCTATGGGCTCCTGAAATGTAAATCTGGCCTTGCTAGGAATGTGGTGATTTGGTACACCAGGCTGTACCGCACAGGTATGTGGCATCCAATCTGATCCTGTACGCCAAAAACAGACAGATGTGGATCTGTTGGATTGGATCAGATGGCAGTCGGATGGAAACGGACAGGTGGCCATCTGACCACCCCATAGAAGACAGCGGGCGGTGTCTGTGTCCGCTCTGCAGCAGCGGAGCAGACACAGACCTCTCATCTGCCTGCTCAGCGGAGAGATCAGCTGTTGTAAGCCCTGATGAATGGGGACATTTGGAACCTCCAAAGCACGTTGACTTGTCTTTCAATTTTCTTACAATTAAATAATATTTCATAGGGGGTTATTTACTAAAACTGGAAAGTGCAAAATCTGGTGCAACTCTCCATAAAAACCATTCAGCTTCCAGGTTTTCTTTTATCAAAGCTTAATTGAACAAGTTGAAGTTAGAAATTGATTGGCTACCAATCCCAACCTTCCACCACTCTTGTAGTGAGGGGTGAGGCTATAGAGATCCTACACATTATTAGTGGCTGTAAGTAGGGTGGCCACCTCATCGCTTTTAACTCGAACACATATTAATGATACGGGTTCTGGGGCTGAGTATGGTGGGAATTAAACACACTTAGTGCCATATGTGCAATAAATTAGCCTCAGAACCCATGTCATTCATATGTGTTCCATTTTAAAGGGATGAGGTGGCAACTCTAGCTGTAAGGCTGTTGGCTAGGTTCTGATTTGTGCCGGGCATTATGGGTCAGCAACCACAAAATCAACTGATACTCTATTAATTTGAATTCAGGAAATTTGACAACACTAGAAAAACGAAGGCTGCAGATTTCATATTCTCCACAAAGCAGTCATCTCTTTTATTATCATAGTGGCAGACAGACAGGAAGTGATGTAAGATACAGACAGGAAGTGATGGATCACCTGCCTTGGAGAGGAGACATTGCTAGAACTGGCAGCAGAGGAGGTAATATTATACTATTTATTATTTATACTCGGTAACCCCCCTTATCCTCCTCTTCCTCCATAGTTACTGTGGAGTCTTTTATCTACTGTAGAGCCATTTATCCAACTTTTATTCCAGAGCCTCTGGTTTATAGACTGGATACCTCCAAAATATAGAACCATTTATCCAACTTTTATTCCAGAGCCTCTGGTTTATAGACCGGATACATCCTAAATATAGAACCATTTATCCAACCGTCCATCCGGATCCTCTGGTTTATAGACCGGAATCATCCTAAATATAGAACCATTTATCCAACCGTCCATCCGGAGCCTCTGGTTTATAGACCGGATACGTCCTAAATATAGAACCATTTATCCAACCGTCCATCCAGAGTCTCTGGTTTATAGACCGGATACATCCTAAATATAGACCCATTTATCCAACCGTCCATCCAGAGCCTCTGGTTTATAGACCGGATCCATCCTAAATATAGAATAATTTATTCAACTGTACATCCGGAGCCTCTGGTTTATAGACCGGATACGTCCTAAATATGGAGCCATTTATCCAACCGTCCATCCAGAGCCTCTGGTTTATAGACCTGATACATCCTAAATATAGAACCATTTATCCAACTGTCCATCTAGAGCCTCTGGTTTATAGACCGGATATGTCCTAAATATGGAGCCATTTATCCAACCGTCCATCCAGAGCCTCTGGTTTATAGACCAGATACATCCTAAATACAGAGCCATTTATCCAACCGTCCATCCAGAGCCTCTGGTTTATAGACCGGATACGTCCTAAATATAGAACCATTTATCCAACCGTCCATCTAGAGCCTCTGGTCTATAGACCGGATACGTCCTAAATATGGATCCATTTATCCAACCGTCCATCCGGAGCCTCTGGTTTATAGACTGGATCCATCCTAAATATAGAACCATTTATCCAACTGTCCATCCAGAGCCTCTGGTTTATAGCAGTTACTACCTAAAATCTTTAAAAATCACATGATCTAGTAACAATGGAAGAAGACTCTGCACGTTATCTATTCCAGTACAGTGCAGATGATTCTTTTCTTTCAGTTTATTTTCTGTCTACAGAGACGAGAATCCCATATAAATCACATGACCCCCTCAGAGAGGATGGAGGAGGAACAAAGTCAAAAAACTGAGCGGATATTAAACCTCACCCTGGAGATCATCTACCTGTTGAACGGCGAGGTAAGGAGGATTCTGGGAGGTCACAAGACCTCACTCTATTAATAAACTCAGACTTGACCAGGTGAGAAGGGTTGTAGAAATATTTACATTTATTTTATAGTTAGCATCTCTTGTTACACAGGGTTATGAAGTGGTGAAAAAGACACCCAGGGAACCATTGATACTTGGCAGCTGTCCCCCTGTATCACCTCCAGCTCCATCATTGACACCTGGGAAAAACAATCAGCAGAAAATCCTGGAAATCACCCAGAAGATCATTGGTCTGCTGACAGTAGAGGTGAGCGGTGCCGGGAATTCTGGGACATTCTCCAGTAACAGACAAGGGATGTGTCTGGATGGTGACTGTATCATTGTGTGTGTCAGGTTCCTATAAGGTGTCAGGATGTCACTGTCTATTTCTCCATGGAGGAGTGGGAGTATTTAGAAGGACACAAGGACCTCTACAAGGACGTCATGATGGACAATCAGCCGCCCCTCACATCACCGGGTAAGAGGAGACTTTATTGTAAAGGAGAGAGCAGTACGGAGGGTCCACCTAGATCCCCCATCATCTGATAAACACATAGAAATAATGGATTCAGTCAGTGTGTGTGTTTACTACAGATGGATCCAGTCATGGGAACCAACCAGAGAGATGTCCCCGTCCTCTGTATTCCTGGGATTCTACACCGGAAGATCACACCATCCCTCACCATCATCAGGTAGATGACTAGAACTCAAGAGTGTCTCCAAACTATAGAAGATCATACTCATCTACTGTATGTAGCCTAGTGGTCCTCACAGTTTTTTTTTTTTTTTTATCATTCTGTTGACTTAGTATCAAGAACAGATGTATATGAAAGTTGAGGTTAAAGAGGAAGAAGAGGAGATGTCTTTGTTGGATTATGAACAGTCTACGGAGAATGTTGGGTTTGTGGCAGAGATTAAACAGGAGGAGCCTTCTCTATATATCAGCAAGGGTGAGTAATGAATACTAAATAAAGAAACTGCTTCAGTATTGGGATTGATGACTGAGGATATGTAGATTTCACATTGTCCAGTAACTAGATCTCTACAACAATAGTGGAGAATCAGCCGCCCCTAACATGACTGGGTAAGAGGAGACTCTATTGTAAAGGAGAGAGCAGTACGGAAGGTCCACTTAGATAGACTCTAAGTTTAAGTTGCATTCCTCAATTTAACTCCACGCTCTCCCGAAATTAGATATGATGAGATTATACCATATGAAAGGTTCATCAAGGTATACCTCAATATAACATCATGTTCCCAACAAATGAGGAGGAGATACTGAACACCATATGAAAGGTGCAACTCCATTCCTCAATATAACGTCATGTTCCCAACAAATGAGGAAGAGATACTGGACACCATATGAAAAGTTCATCTCCATTCCTCAATATAACGTCATGTTCCCAACAAATGAGGAGGAGATACTGGACACCATATGAAAGGTCCATCTCCATTCCTCAATATAACGTCACGTTCCCAACAAATGAGGAGGAGATACTGGACACCATATGGAAGGTCCATCTCCATTCCTCAATATAACGTCATGTTCCCACACACACACCATGTTAAACACAGCAGTTGAACTAAAGCAGGAGAACTTAAGCAGCAGGAAGACACAACAACAGCAAGAAACTCTACTGCATGCTGGACAGACTGCAAGGAAACACCCTGGGAAATATCTTTTACATACCTGAGTCCCACTCCGTGTACCTTTTATATAATACACCCCTCTTCTCCTCTTCATATTACTATCCTCTGTTCCCAAATCTCATTTCTTTACCCCTCTGCTCCACCCCAAAACTTGTACATCTACCCCTCATTGCTATCATCTCCCTACTATTGCTTTCATCACCTCCCCAAAATGCCTCTTCCACTCCTCCTTCTCATTTTCCTCTCCTCTGTTCCCAAAATCCATTCACTATATCCCTCTGCTCCTCCCAAACATTTGTATATTGTGCCCTCACTGCTTCCCTCACCCCTCTATGGCACCTACCACCTCCTCCTATTACTCCACTCTCCCACTGACCCGAACACCTCCACTAGTAGTTTCTCACGCTCCTGCACATCCCGCTCCCATGCCACCTTTCTCACCCTTCTCCTCCTCATAACCGCGGGGGACATCTCCCCGAATCCTGGCCCTCCACCACCTCCCTCACAAAACCCTCCCGCCTCCACGTCCTGCCGCAACCCCCGCAACTTAGTATCTGTCCCCCTGCTCCCTAAAATCTCCCCCCCGTTTTCATGTGCACTCCTGAACGCCCAATCGGTGTGCAACAAGCTTACCGCCATACACGACCTCTTTGTTTCCCACTCCCTCAACCTCCTGGCGATTACGGAAACCTGGATCCAGCCCACTGACTCTACCTCCCCTGCTGCACTCTCCTACGGCGGTCTCACCTGGACCCACTCACCCAGGCCCAACGGTCGTAAAGGTGGTGGGGTTGGCCTGCTCCTGTCACCGCTGAGCACCTTCCGAGTCCTCCCAAACCCCCCCTCCCTATCCTTCTCCTCCTTCGAGGCCCACTGCGTCCGACTATTCTCCCCAACCCCCCTGAAGATTGCTGTGATATACCGGCCTCCTGGATCCATACCCCGCTTCCTGGAAGACTTCTCCTCCTGGCTACCCTTCTTCCTCTCCTCTGAGCTACCCACTATCATCCTTGGGGATTTCAACATCCCTGTCAACCTCGACAACCCGGCCACATCCCATCTCCTCCACTTAACCTCCTCCTTTGCACTTGCACAGTGCATACAATCCACCACCCACTCCGACGGTAATATCCTTGATCTTGTCTTCTCCAACCGCTGCGCTCCCCACAACCTCACTAACACCCCCTTCCCTCTCTCTGACCACAACCTGATTACCTTCTCTATCTCCTCATCCTCCAACGCCTACCCCTCCAAATGTCACACTACTACCAGCCGTAACCTCCACAACCTTAACCCTGCCTCCCTCCACTCTGCAGTTGATCAACTCCATGACCGCATCCTCCCCCTGTCCTGCCCCGACTTGGCTATGACCGCCTACAACAATGCGCTGTCAACAGCCCTTGACTCACTAGCGCCTTTAACCACACGCAACATCAGACCCCGACCGCTCCAGCCCTGGCAGACTGATCACACCAAAACCCTCAAACGACACAGTCGTGCCCTGGAGCGACTATGGCGCAAAACCAAATCCCAACAAGCCTTCACCCGATACAAATCTGCCTTCCACACCTACACCTCCTCCCTCCATACTGCCAAACAAGCCTACTTCCTGACCCTCATCAAGGCCCTCTCCTCCAATCCTCGCCGACTCTTCTCCACCTTCAACTCTCTACTCTCGCCACCCCCACCTCCACCCAGCACCTCACTCACTGCCCTTGAGATTGCCAATCACTTCAAAAACAAGATTGACACAATTCGCAAGGACATTGCCGCAACTCACACGCCTTCTCAACCCGTCCCCTCTCACACAGCTACCCCCTCATCCCCCCTCCCCCTCGACATAACCCACAGGGACTTTGTCGCTGCTCAAACTTCCTCCAACCCCCTTCCCCCTCACTCAGCTACCCACTCTACACCCCTCTCCCACGGCCCCACCACTGCTCTGACCTCCTCTTCCACCCCACCCTACATTCCTCATACTGAAGCTCCCCCAACACTCCGCACCTTTGACCTTACTACCATCGAAGAAGTCTCCAAGATCCTCTCTGATGCCCGCCTCACCACCTGCCCCCTTGACCCTATCCCCTCACAACTCCTACAACCTCCCTCCCCCTCCATCCTACGCTCCCTCACCCACATCTTCAATCTCTCCCTCTCCTCCGGCACTTTCCCTTCCCCTCTGAAACATGCACACATCACCCCCATACTTAAAAAGCCCTCCCTGGACCCCAATGACCCGAACAACCTCAGACCCATCTCCCTGCTCCCATTTACATCTAAACTCCTCGAGCGCCTAGTCTACACCCGCCTATGCTCTCACCTCAACGACAACAACCTCCTCGATCCCCTACAGTCCGGCTTCCGTCCCCTACACTCCACCGAAACTGCCTTACTCAAACTCTCCAACGACCTGCTAAACCGCCAAAGCTAATGGCCACTATTCAGTGCTCCTACTCCTTGACCTCTCTGCGGCCTTTGACACAGTCGACCACCCCCTCCTACTCAAAAAACTACACTCCCTCGGCCTCAGAGATTCTGCTCTCTCCTGGCTCTCATCCTACCTGTCACAACGCTCTTTCAGCATTACCTATAATGCCACCACCTCCCTCTCACTCCCCCTCTCTGTTGGGGTCCCTCAAGGCTCTGTCCTCGGGCCCCTTCTCTTCTCCATCTACACCTCCTCCCTTGGCCAACTCATACACTCTCACGGCTTCAACTACCAACTCTATGCCGACGACACACAAATCTATCTCTCAACCCCAAACCTCACCCCCTCGGTCTCCGCCCGAATCACACACCTGTTGAGCGACATATCAGACTGGATGTCGCTCCACTTCCTTAAACTGAACCTCTCCAAAACCGAGTTTCTTGTCTTCCCTCCAGCCCAGACCCCACCCCCCATTGACTTCTCCATCATGTCCAAACGCCACCATCAAACCCACCCCGCAGGCCAGAGTACTTGGTGCCAACCTATCCTTCCAGCCCCAAGTCCACTCTTTAACAAACTCATGCAGACTCCACCTCCGCAACATCGCCAAAATACGCACGTTCCTAACCCCAGAAACCACTAAACAGCTCATCCACTCCCTCATCATATCACGACTCGACTACTGCAACTCCCTCCTCACTGGCCTGCCTCGCCGCTGGCTATCCCCGCTTCAGTCCATCCTGAATACGGCTGCCAGACTCATTCACCTTTCCAACCGCTCCGTTTCCACCACCCCCCTCTGCCAATCCCTCCACTGGCTTCCGATTGCGCAACGGATCAAATTCAAAATCCTAACGCTGACGTACAAAGCCGTCCACCATAC